ACTGTTACACTCTGGGTTTCATTCTTGATAAGGAGAAGTGTTAATGTCGGAAACCTGAGCGACTGTTTTCATTTCAAAGCTTCCTGATTGATGAGAAATGACACAGACAATTTACGTTGCAGCCATTAAAGCCTGTTTCACTTATAGACTGTAAATATTAATGTTTGAAGCCTGAGTGACGTCACCCATGTGTTCCCATCAGCAGCAGCCGCCATGTTGGAAATGCTGTCTCATCCTAACTTTCAGTCAACCTAACGACAGGCTGAGAGCTGGAGCTGAGGCGGATTTTAAACCTCTTGACGAACCGTTACATCACGCCCACCTGTCAATCATGTCAGCTAAGCATCTAACTATGGATAACATGTATTGTTTATAAAACCAAAACGGAGCCGATTCTAAAAAAATCACCTCTGTACAGTGTGTGCCCATGAGGACAACAACTAATCAAACTTATATCGTTTTTTGAACCAGGCTGTAAACATGTTTATTTATGCTGTTAAAACAGACTTTTCTGAATGGGTGTGTATGTGACTTGCAGTTTGGTAAAATATAAAGGGAAAAGGGTCCATGTTTAAAAGTGCCAGAGTTCCCCTCAAAACTGCTTCTTTATTTGCTCTGCACAAAGTGATAAAAATCTGTTCCCGCCCCTCTGCTGTGTTTGCTATATGTATATCCTTCAGACATTCCTGGACTCCTCGGAGAGAAGATGCATGTGCAGGGAGGAGTTATTGCATGTGGACATAGTGCAGGTGGCTTCACAATAACTGGATATGCTCTCATCCTGCCCACCATCAATTAGAGCTTTGTTTACTCTGCAGGGCTTTGGGTCCATAGCCAGGGGTCCGCATGTTTAGATAGTCTCTAATGGACTGTGGGTCATCGTGTAAACTCCCCAGTAAAAGGAAGGCGCGCTGTCTTTATGAGACAAACACAAGCAGGGTTTTTACAAGGAGATGTTTTTTATAGGTTCAAACCAATGAATTTGAGATCCTTACAATAAATACACATGCTGAAACCCTTATTGTTTGTAATGATAACAAATACTGGTGTAGGAGGATGAAAATGTCCTCAAATGAAAGAGTCACATCTTTAAGAATAACATCCGGCATGCATTTTGTGTAAGTTTGTGTGTGTGTGTACATCATGCTCTCTACAAGAAGGCAGGACTGTGTGAGCTTGCGTGTGAATAGAATATGTCATCTGCAGAGCTCCAGCTGTTGCGCACGCAGCGCCAGAGGACACGAGGCACGGGTCCAGCCGGCTGAGCGTCGCACGCCCATCACTGCAGCCACTCAGCTCCAAGTAGGACAAAACCTATAGAGCCCCTCTGCAGGAGAGGAATATGCAGCTAACAGCTCATTATACTGTGTATGGACAGCTCTGCATCATACTCAGAGCTGTACGTATGTAATTAGAAACGTTACAGACACACCTTCACAGGCTGCAGGGGGAGGAGTGAGGGAGGGTTTTGCAAGATAGAGCGAAAGAAAGGAGCCAAATGTGCACATGAAGCAAATATCTGAGAGCAGATGACATCTCTGCAAACATTTATAGTGTTGGAGTATTTACTGTGGCTCTACTGTTGTGTAACAGCTGAAACTGCGGAATGACATACTCTCTGTCGCCAAGTTACTATGAGAGTGACGTCACTAGACGGCACCTTGTTTTATCTTTGAGGTGTGCTCGTGCCATGGACTGATGTCTGTAACCGAGCTCCTACTTTCCTTTTGCCTCTACAGCGCTCTGGTAAATGGTAAATGGACTTGAGCTTAAATAATGATTTTCTACTCTTCTGACTACTCAAAACGCTCACACCTACACATTCACACACTGATGGAGGACGCTGCAGTGTAGTGAGACCATTAGAAGTAACTAATTCCATTCATTCACATTCATACGGCGCCAACGAATTTGGGGCAATTTGGGGTTAAGTGTCTTGACCAAGGACTCATCGAACATGTTGCTGCAGGTGCTGAGGATTGAACCCCCAACCTTCCGGTTGCCGCCCTCTGGGTCTCCATAGACTCTTGTTAGAAGTTACACATGGGTATTTTGCTCCTCTCCAATGCAAGAGAAAGGAGCATTGAGGAGCACCCCAATAATACTTCCATGAGTTAAGAGAACATTCTTTCAAATGTAGTACGGGCAAAAGTAAGTAAGGTGTCCCTAGTCTGTCTACAAACCCTCCTATGATGAATAAAGTCCATCCTCTCCGTCTTCTGCCTGCTCCACTTTTCAGAAAATGTGTGCTCAAACAGGCCAGTTGGAGATTTTCCCTTCATGACATCACAAAGGGCAGTAACCCCTCCCCCAGGTGGGTGACACTCCCACAGCTAGGTGTTTGTTCTGCCCTCTGAGTCTGCCTTCTCAGCGTAAACAAAAGGACATGGAGCAAGAAAGACCAAGACACCCAAGCCCTTCCAGAGAGGGGGCGTGGTCAGACACAGCTCATTTACATATTTAAAGGTACAGACACAGAAACAGCCTGTTCTGAGCAGGGCTGAAATAGAGGGGTTTATAGACATGATCAAATACAGGATCAGAGTGGATTTAGAACAAGAAACTTCACACACATGTTTTGAGGAGCTCTGAGACTTATTTACACCGGTTGAAGAGGAGGAGAATATGTGACCTTTAAGTTAAGCACTCAATTCATTTTCTTTGTTCCAGTCCCGCAACTACACAAGAACAAACTATCGGGCAAAGTAGCTGAGTTTCCAAATCACATTTAAACTACTCAGGGCCATTCTTCTTTTCTTCTTCTCAGGCCATTATTCTATCAGGCTCCTGTAATAGGCTCCCAGCCTGTTCCCATGCCATTATTTGATGAACTGTCTTAGTGCCAGCCCGCATACATATTGTACCAATTTAGTCCCAGTGCAACCAATATCAGTTGGTGCATGTTCCCCTGGGGTGCTCTTCTTAAGTGGTCCAGCCGTTGCATCAGAAATGAAAAAACAATTAAGTCTAATTGCTAATTACAGACTCGCAGAAATAAGTTCTCGTAGCTGTGGTTAGAGAGCAGACAGCATCATATCAGTGGTGGAGAATTGATCAGCTTTTTTTTTAAGGTTTAATGAAAGACGAGTATCTGTCGCTCTCTGTCTCCTACATTCCTCTCTCCTCCCAAAGCAACCAAACCTCCAGACCCAGCCATTGAATATCTAAACTCGAGGTTTGTTCCCGGGATAACAACTGTCTCTACAAATCATCTTTAAGTGATAGAAGGATGTCGGAGCCCTTTAGGCCTTTCTATGCGCGGGCCTGATGCCAGTGCCCACAGTCTCTGTTATGAAACATGACTGTGGTGTTGAGGTCTTTAAATATAAAACCATGAGGCTGTCGGTTTAGACCAGAGGAGACTCGTTAAAGTGACACCCAGTGGGAGTCAAGTGTTGCAACATTTGGCTCCAAAAGCAGCAAGCTGGGCCCCGAGTTAAAAATGGCCACACAGAAACCAACGCTAGTAAAGGGAATTATAGCTTGCATGATTTTCTGTTTGCACGTTTGTAAAAGTGTTGGCTGAATATTACAGTCTTAGTGAGTTTAATCCAAAGCAGATGAACATTTACAGTCACAAAGGATTAACTGTGAAGAAGTATCTCTGAAGTACTCAAGATAATGACATGAAGATCCAGATTGAAAAAATAAAACTCTTCTGTGTAAGTTTGTCATTGCCTGTTTCCCCCTGTTAGCTTCATTCTGTTAAATTAGATTTGTGTCTTTGAAAGATACACAACTCCTGTTGTGGAGGGTTTAGTAAATACTTTCTAGGTAGTAGGTTCTTTCTTGTTGCTTCACAGATCAGACACAATCTTACAACAGAGAAAAAGACAGAAGAAAACGTTTAGGCTAAACACGGTGGCTTAAAGCTAAAGCAGCTAAAGTGGACCTAGCATAGCCTGAGTCTCTTAAATCTCGGGAGGAGACATGAATATGATCTGTTTTTTGTTTTTTTTAAAGAACGTGCACTTTCTATTTCATGCACCCATTTTATAAGGACGGCCTGCTGCTCCTTCCCAAAACTTCTACCACTCGACGTCCCAGCCTCCACCATCGGACTGTGTCGTCCCCACAACTACCACCGTCCTCATTCATACACGGCCTGCTCTGTCCTCCAACTCAGCGGCAGGGGCGTCTCACCCGTGGGTGTTGTGGGTGTTGTGGGTGTTGCGACACCCACACTTTCACTGAAACGTATTTTCATCCCCCACACTTTTTATTTACTTTACACACAGCATGGAGATCTTTACATTTTCTCCTCTTGGTTGTTCTTTTAGCTGTATTTATGTAACTTTACGATAGCGGAAGTCCCCTTTGCAGTTTTTCAAAATAAAAGCACATTTTATATGAAGACTGGAAATAAAGAGACTGAGGCATATGGTAATAAGAAAAGCAAAATAAAAGCATCACAAAGAGCAGTTTTGAATCTGTTTTTTAGAGCTGACTGGGTTACTCACAGTGGATGTTCATAAAGTTAGTGTCTAATTATCTTTTGTAACTTTGTCTTGTTGTGTGATGTGTCAGCTAACATTTGTTATTGGACATTAAATGAAACAGAATGTGTTGATTTGCTAGGTAATATATTAGCATTAGAACACCCACACTTTTAAAATCGCTGCTCCACCCCTGCTCAGCGGTGAGGAAGTGTGGACAACAGGAACGTGAGCAATACAAAGAAGAAATCCTTCCTGCATATTATCCCATCTGCTCTTTTGTAAAGCGTCTCCAGATTACACTTGCTATACAAATAATGATTGATTGATATAAAAAATTGGATGACTGAGAACCTACACAGACATCACTATTAAGAGGAGCTGCTGGAGCTTTATGTATTTTTGCTCATGGACATTCAAACACTGAACATGTCATATTTTCTGTTAATTTATGACATTGAACTTTGACATTTCTCAGTATTTTAAAGATCTAAGGACATAAAGCAGTTAAAAAGAGAAAGCTGGAGGATGAACAAGGAGAGGAGGACACTTACATGTTGGTATTTAACAGCTTACGCAGCACACATCTCAGTCCTTTCAGCTGAGGGTTACAGGGTTTCAGGGGGCTTTTTGAGGGTTCAATGATGAACACTAACACGCCTGTGGTTGGGAAAAGACTTGTCAATGAGCAGCTCAGGTTGTGAAATATGTTTTCTATGATGACTTCACTGCCGAGGGTTTGAACACTCATCACTTCCTCCAGCTGGCAGGAATACAGTGGAGTTTGTTTTTTTTCTCGGAGCAGAGAGCAGATTTTCTTAAGTGAATAACCGCTCAGCTTTAATGAGATTACTTTACTGGATATAAAGTGTACTAACAGTTTTACAATTCTACAATTCATTAAGCAGACACTTTTATCCAAAGTGATGAACATTAGAGAGTAAGAATAACACAAGGGCACCTCGGCAGTGCTCGAGAAGAGCCCTAGCACCTCTTCTGCTACCAATTACCATATTTTGGTCCGCACTGGGACTTAAACCAGCCACCCTCTAGTTCCTAACACAAGACCCATGCAGACTGAACTAATGCCACCCCCAATATATACTTTATACTTCACCAGCAGACGTGTAGATGTGTGGAAGATATTGAACATGCTGTACATGCATTTCAATGAACCTGATGTATATTTTTTGTAATTGAATTTTGTTCTAATAAAGTCCTTTTTTGCTGTAAGACTACAGTCTATGTATAAGATCCATGTTTTAACTCCTAAATTAGAGGGCCAACTTTGTAAATCTTTTTTTCATTTATCTAATCTTAAGGAAACATGTTGTATCCGTTTTGGTTTAGTCAAGAGACTCTTCAGTGAGTCTGTAAAATATTAACATAAAGAGCAATCGTATGCGTAACCTTGCGCTGCCCTCTAGTGGCCGCAGATTGTTAACTGAGTGTGAATCGTCATCAGACATGCGACAAAATACCACGCATGCGCAGTAGCGTCGGGTCGACAAAATTCAAACTGGACGGCGGGTAGTTGAAGCCGACTGAAAAAAAGAACAACAAAAAAGGCGTCGTTGTCGAGGATTTAACCAAAAGTTAAAGAAAATGACGAGCACGTTGAAAGGAATCACTCTGAAGGGAAGCGCGGAGCTCGTTGCCGAGTTCTTCTGTAAGTGTTTTTTAAATGATTGTGTTTTTTCCGAGCAGTTCATTGTAGTTTAGCTACATGCTAACATGCTACAGAGCCTGTTAGTGTCGTTTCATAACACTCAACTCAGATATATATACTCAGCAAAACAACATGTTAAACATCAAACTAAGAGTGTTTACCCTTTCGTCTTCATGTTAGCATGAATCCAATCTAGCTTTTGTTAAACTTGAAGTTTTAAACTACAACGTGTCTACAGTGAAGAGCACCGCCCACTTCTCCTCTTCCTCTGATGATTAAACTGTCCCATGTTAAACACATTGTTTGTCAAATATATGCCGAATTCACCAGAAGACCTTAAAGTTACAAGGGAGAAGGTTTTCTACATCCTGGAGTTTTTTTTTATTGTGCTAGTAAACATGGCCATTTCACAATTTAGTCGATCCGTGAACGAGGTTCAGCAGCTCACCGTCAGCTTCCTGTAGAGATCAGACCGGCACCGTGAACAGCTTCCTAAATACATTAACATTGTCTTCACTACACAAACACAACATAGATACACAACACAACATACACACAAAATAGTGTAGACTTAAAGGACTAAAGTTGTATGGGCAGAACAAGGCAGGTTTTAGTGCTCCAGACAAGACATCAAAAGCATTATGACAAAGGAAAAAACATATATATATTATAATAATATTAAATATTATTTAATATTATAGATATAAATATAAAAAACAATAACATTCAAAACACACTTAAACCAACCACTAACAATACCATCTGAGAATAAATATAAAAATGGCAAAAACCTGAAATTTGGCATACTGGTATGTGCTCTGAGCGTCTTTCAGTGTTGTATTTGCTCTGAAGCCCCTGACTACAGAGTCTTACCTTCCTGACTGACACACATTCACCTGCTGGTCTTCCTTAATCGATTCTCTTTTACAGTTCGCCTCAGAACATCTTCCAGAGGATTTAGGCTCACAATTTGCTTAGTCTGTGTTGAGTCACAGCTCATTGGCTGGCTCAGACCTCGGGGCAGCAGTCGCTCAGGGGTTAGTAACTGGAGGGTCGCCGGTTCAAATCTCCGTGTTGACCAAATCTGAAGCTGGTAGCGTCTGTGGTAACACGCACCGAACCTCCCGACCTACAAGCCCAGGAGCGCCCGCTGTGGGCCGCCCATTCACTCTGACATCTCTCCATTAGTACATGTCCGAATATGTTGTTTGTGCATGTGTGTGTTCAACAACAGTGTAAAATCTAATTTCCCCTCGCTGGATTAATAAAGTATAACTTCATATACCCCCCAGGGGCACCTTACACAGCCCACCTTCACCGATTGCAAATTATTTATTAGTTTGTTTATTAACAACAGTTTATCATCTTTCCTCTTAATTTCACGTTGCAGTATAAGTGTCGTTCTAAAATTATTTTTGTCTTTTTTTTCCACCTCAGCGTTCGGCATTAACAGCATCCTGTACCAGCGAGGCATCTATCCTCCAGAGACGTTCACCAGAGTCACAAATTATGATATGAGCCTTCAGCTGACCACAGACCCCAAACTGAAGAACTACCTGACCAACGTGGTGTCTCAGCTCAAAGGTAACCTCAGTGGATCCGCTCCATCAGTCTTTCCTGCTTCAGATTTGAGTTTAGATTTAATGTCTGTCTTGTGTTTTCTCAGAGTGGCTGTTTGAGTGCACCGTGCAGAAGCTGGTTTTGGTGATCACGTGTCTGGAGACCAACGAGGTGCTGGAGAGATGGCAGTTTGACATCGCGTGTGACAAGTCGGCCAAGGAGAGCAGGTCAGATATCACACCGACCATGTCACCACCGTATGACATCATACTCCTGAACCATTTCACTGTGTGTGAGACTCAGTTACTATAAAGTTCTGATAATTAAGGATAGTACTTGCAGTAGTTAATTGCACAGTTTGACAACAAATATGAGTGCTCAGGGAGTTGTAATCATCCAATCAGGGTCCAGCATGTTGCATCCAAGACACTTCATATGAAAGATGAATTCTTGTGATAATCTGTATTTTACAGCTAAAACTCATAAATACATTTCAGTCAGAGAACGATCAGTATGTTTGTCACAGATGAAGAAATGGTAAAAATGGCTACCTGTAAGTTCTTTACTCAACACAGATGTAGAATCACCAGAACTACATTAACCGCTGTTCTCTTGTGCTTCCCAGTGCTCCCAGAGAGAAGTCCATAAAGACGATTCAGGATGAGATCCGCTCTGTGATCAGACAGGTCACCGCCACTGTGACGTTCCTGCCGCTGCTCGAGACGCCGTGTGAGTAACCCCGCAGCTGTGTGTCTTCTTCTACCCACAAACTGAGCTCTTCTTTTTATGGACTCACCCTGACTCTCATCTCCGTCCTCTCCAGGTGCCTTCGACCTCCTCATCTACACCGACAAAGACCTGGAGGTCCCTGAAAAGTGGGAGGAGTCCGGTCCGCAGATCATCGACCAATCGGAGGAGGTGCGTCTTCGCTCCTTCACCACCTCCATCCACAAGGTGAACAGCATGGTGGCGTACAAGAAGACGGATTAGCTTTAAACCTCACGAGCTGTAAATATCACCGACCACTAGCCCCCTCATAGAAACCTGTCGATTTTACACCGCCCTGTCCTACCTCACCGTCTGCGTCTCTGTCCAGTTTTTCTTTACTTCACCTTTTGAGAAGAAGCGTGCAGTGTCCTGTTCTGTCCGCTCTGATGTAAATATTTCTCAAGAACACTTTTCGAACTGTTAAGACAAGAAGAGTTGTTCCTAAGTGTTTTTCCCTTTCTCTCTGTTTTAGAAGCGAGTGGTTTGTTTGTTCTACTTTTATAAAAATGTCTCAAATTAAATGTCTTTCACAAAGATGTTTTTTTTCTCTCTGTATTTACTGATGTTCACCACTAGGGGGCAGTGCAAGCTTAAGTATCAGGGGTGTTCTGTTGGTTTGCAGAGAAACATAATGAAAACCTTTTTTTAAAAACTTGTTCAAGAGTCACAAACATGAGAGAACAGTTTAGATCAGATCAATACATTTTAAGTCTCTTGAGTGATGTTAGATGAAAATAAATTTTTCATTTAAAGTGATTTTAAAGGTCCAGTCAGTAAGATGTGTAGAGAGTGAAATGATAAAGGTATCTTACTATATGATCAGACATTAAAGAAACATGTTATGTTGAAGTGCTGGCTTCTCTGACAACAATGCAGCAGCCAGTATGTCCTCCTTCTAACTTTAGATTCTGCTCCTGAATGCTCTGGATTTGTTTGGACCAGAGGAGGTAGGCGCTTTTAAGGCACCCCCACACGGTGGTTTTGGACGCCCCTGGGTTTGCCAGATATGAGAGCAGTTATCAGGTCAACAGGTGTTGCAGCGATGGAAGTGGGCAAGAGAAGTGGTTCAGATAGAAGTGATTGTACCCGACCTAAAAAGCCTCTGCATGTTTCTAATAAACTCCACGAGCAGAAACGTGCTCAAACTAGGATCAATATTGGAGATGCTTTTGAAAAATGGAGAGAGGTTAGAACACAGAAAGGTTTACAGACCGATGCAGAGCTGGATAAACACTGAAGCTTCAGAGTTCACCACATGGCAAACTGAGTGAAACTGTTGGTTTGTATTGATTTTGGCGCCCTCCTGTGGACAAAGCTGTACCTCTTACCTCTGAGTGTATTTAACAGTAAAAATATCATCTTGCTGACTTTTAACAGACAAGTGTGAATAAATTCAATTGACAAAGCAAACAAAGACTGTCTGCAGCATGACATTATAATCATTGAGAGTGTTCACATGGACTTTACTTTCTCGGTCATGATCCTCATCCTGGTTTTAATCATCTTCAGGATGTGGTGTTAACATCCACACAGAGAAACCTGGTTATTCATCTCCCTGTGTGCATGATAAAAACTAATATCCTGGTTTTTGATTAGTGCAGGCGCCTGTGATGTTTATTTTTTACAACACAAACTGCGGGCATTTTTAAACCTGAGAATAATGAGACCACCGTGGCTCAGCTCTATTGAATGACAACATGGTGTTGCAGGTATGGCGTATCCACCTCATTTCCAGCAACAAATTAAATTAAAAAACAATAAAAAACAAAAGACAAAAGTCAGTTTCTTTGTGGCTCCAGAAGGGAGCGACTGCCATGTTTGTAAATGGACTTGTAAAGTGTTTTTCTAGTCTTCTGACTCCTCAAAGCTCTTTTACACCTCAGGTCACACCTCCACATTTACACACTGATGGTAGAGGCTACTGTGTAAAGAGTCCATCAGAAGTAACTCATCCCATTCATACACATTCATACGTCGCTGACAAAGCAGAAGGAGCAACTTTGGGTTAAGTGTCTTGCCCAAGGACACATTGACATGTGGTTGCAGGAGCTGGGGATCAAACCTTTGACCTTCCGGTTGAGGATCACCGACTACCACTGAGCCACAGCCGCCCCATGTTTTGCTGATACATTACTTGACTGAGGCCGCGCCTGTGCAGGAAGTCAGCAGCTGTCAGAAACCGAGGTAAGGCGTGTACTTGCCACAGTATCCCGTTTTCTTTCCGAGTCATCCAGGAAGCGAATCAGGGAATCAAGAAATCGGGATATGATGTTTACAAATATGATACTTAAAAAACCCAATCTAAACCTGGACACTCAAGTCCATGTCAACACACTCAATGTCAGTTTCAGTCTCTGTGACCAACAGCTAAACTTTAAAACAGGAAACACATTTTTCTTAAAGTCCGACCTTTAAAACAAAATAAGTTTGAGTTTCTTACTGTAACCTGTCATCAGGTGCAGTATTGCGACCTTCCCGGTGAGTTTTCTTTCCTTCATGAACTTTTCAAACTGACCGTGAAGAAACCTCCCAGGTGACAATGATGATTGCACCTGTTCCAAAGGTGAAAATCACTGAAGATCACACTCGTTAACTGGATCACCTGGACCCGGATGTTCAAAGGGTTTAATCCAGATAAAAAGATCTGGGTTTGGCTGTTCAAAAAAAAACTAGATGGGAGCACCCTGATCCAGGTACAGAGTTTTGATTATCACCAAACCCACATAACCCCTGCTTACACATACACTTAAAGATCCTCACAGCTGCTTTGAATTAGTTATCTAATGTTTGACAGTGATGCGTTTTTTTTTTCTGGAGAGAGAGTTGGGAATGACATGTGGGAGGGGAGCCACAGGTCGGATTCGAGCCTGGGCCGCCTGCTTGGAAGAATGCAGCCTCCATACAAAGGGCACGCGTACCAACCTTTATGCTACCGACACCCCTGATGAAGATGCTTTTGGATGATTTTGATACATGTTTATCGTTACCGTTGAAACAGCTTATGTTACGCCAAAGATCGCTGCATAAGGAAGCGTGAGCTGCTCCTGAAAGCTGCCGTACTGTTTCTGTTTGTGCTGCTGTGATAAAAACGTCATGTAAATTATACTCTGATACATTAGCTCGTCTGTAAACATATTCTCTTCCTCCTACGGTCAATGCAGGGTTTGTTTTCATCGGGGGGAAGGGGGGGGGGGGGTAGCAGAGATAACTCCCATGATTCCCCACCAGCCTCGATGTCATCTTTTGTTCTTGTTTTGATTGAGAGCCCCCTGGTGGTGGAATATACATACTGCACATTTAATGCGAGCTCCATCAAAGTTCTCAGTCATAATAAAAAAAGTTGTTTCTCTATTATCCAGGTAAATCTTATTATACAGATAAAGTATAAACTCCAACTATTGTAGGGAAAAAAGAACGAGGACAAATAAAAGTTTCTGTCTTTTAATCGTGAATCGGTCCTATTGTATTACAACAAGGCAGTGGAAAAAATCTGGACCCATTTTCACGTGAAATGTCAGGCCTAATCTTTGGCTCCTTTACATTTTGAACAAAAAAACAAATCATAAAACACAAAACATTACATTTCAAAGTGTCATCTGGCGGAGTCGTTACTAAGAGAAGTCCTTCAGAAAGCAGACGAGACTCGGTTTAAAAGGTAAGAAAACTACATTTCCTGTGCTCCCGTACAATATAGAAACTCTAATAAATATACAAAAGAGAAATAAATATGCAATAGTTAAGACGACGAGTGAAAAATGGTACAAAAGACTCAAACTCTGGTAGGCTGTGTGTGTGTGTGTGTGTGTGTGTGTGTGTGTGTGTGTGTGTGTGTGTGTGTGTGTGTGTGTGTGTGTGTGTGTGTGTGTGTGTGTGTGTGTGTGTGTGTGTACAGAAGACATTAAAACTATCAGAACTGTGACACCATGGAAAGATTATATAAAGATCTGAATCCCACTGAGACGGTTCTGATCCGCACACATCTGAACCAATCAGTGTTCACTTAAACCACGCCCCCTGTGAGAGCCTGTGGGCCTTTCTTAAACCTCCCACTACACCCCTCTCCCTCCACACTTCCACTACGTCTAGCTGGCTCCCGTGGAGAGTCGGCCACTAGTGTTGTCGTACTCAAGTTCGGTCTTGGTCTTAAGACCGGTCTCTAGACTACTTTTTTGAAGGTCTCGGTCTCGTCTTGGAATTGAAAGCATTTTTATTCTGTCTTGTCTCGGTCTCAGACTGGGCGGACTCCTGATTTTAAGTCAAGGCCACCACTGATTGGCTATTTACTTCTTTTAACTTCCATTCATTTGTAGTTTGATTTGTATCCCCCAGTTACGGCCTCAACCTTCCCGGTGTTACGCTCTGTTACACGTGAGTGACACGTCCTCTACACACATGATGATTTCTCAGTGATATTTATGGTCTTGGTCTTGTCTCGGTCTCGGAGCTCTCTGGTCTTGAGTATATCTTAGTCTTGGTAAGTGTGGTCTTGACTACAACACTATCCCCCGCATTAAGTTCTCGTCCACATGTGGACGGGTATTTTTGAAAACAGATGTTTTGACCTTTCATACACAAACTGTGTTTTAAGTCACTGAAAACTCTCCGTTAGTAAAACTCCTTGAAGATGGTGAAGATGTTCAGAAACTCAGTTTAAGTGTTTCTGTGTAGACGGGAAAACAGAGTTTTGTTCTTGTAACGTCACGCTGTGCGCCGGTCTCTCCTCCGTGTGACGTCTTCAGTTTTGTTTCCATGAGATTAGTGCGATGTTAGACGTCACCAAACTAGCGCTGATGCTAACATTGCTAACTGGACTTTTTACATGCTGACACAAACAAACACAGTTACTCTCCCACTATGTGGACGAGCAGAGACGCCTGATTGGACGACTTTGTAAAATGAAACGGTCACTGCAGAGGAATGGTGAGAACCTTTTAGATGGTTGTTGACTTGGCGTGCTGTTGACAGCCCTAACAGTGCATTTTGCGTTTTCATGTGGATGAAGATGTGTTTGAGAACTGAGTGTGTCGACGGGATTATCTTTTGAAAAAAGGCGTTTAAAAAAATACCCGCCTACATGTGCTTTTAAATAAGACAAAAAACTAAGTATCATTCGGATGTAAATATCAAAAAATCTGATTTTGATGAGTCTGCACAGCAGTGTTTATGCAGACAAGTTATTTTTTGAGTGACATAAATCACCTTTCCATAAAGTTCCTGTTTCTGTGGGAGTGAGGGGAGTTGGTCCCAAAGCGTTCTGCTGTATTTACCCCCTCCACCTTAAGGAAGGTCGCTTCATTCAACTGAGGGCGGGACGTCAGGCGGAGTTCAATGAGTGTGGAGGGAGCGATCTGAGAAAGGCCATGTGTGCGCGTGTGTGTGCGTGTGTTTGTGAGTCTTCAGGGTGAAAGCCACTCTGTGCAAAAATAAAAATGGCTATGGTAATAAATATAGCTTAGTGCTGACTCTTCTCTGATCAGTGAGGGCAGGAAGACAAGTGTCACAAAAGTTCAGTGAAATGAGGAGATGAGACGAGGATCATTCCCGTTCTAATTACATGACATCATTCTGTTCACTAGTTCAACTATGTTTATGTGACATCTTGGGTCTTATAAGGCCGGCTACACACAAGACGATTTTCTAATCTTCAGAAGAAAAACAAACATGGAGGACGTTCGACGTCGTCAGCTGGCTGTGCTGGCGTGCGTTCAGTTCTGCAGCCAAAAACAAAAATTGAGACATAGAATATGGATTGTAACCCTGGCTGAGCAGACGCAGACGTGCTTTACACAACATCCGATTGGTGACGCTTCACGGTCTGTTGCTCTCATTGGCTCTCAGGTATTCCGTGGGGGGAAGCCCGATATGTAACATAAATATCAAACAAGGTCATGAAGGCTCTTACTCGATCGGGAGCAGGAAAATAATTGTATTGACATCGAACCCTGGAGGGGTTATTTGGACGAATAACTGCTTGAGACTAGCCCTGATTTAGGCCACACCCCTCGATCGTTGTGGGGGACAAAATGGTCCGAAAATTGTCTCGTGTAGCCAGTCGATTTGCAGCGATTTGCCATTATTCTAACAGTGTTAACAGTGACTTTTACAATTTGAAACATGGCAACATTGCGAAAAAGAAAGTCAGTGAAGTGAGGGATCTTTGCGTCGGCTCGAATAGTTGATCAACATTGAGATTCTTTTGATGTCTTAATGCATCAACCAAACTCCTTTCATAAAACGACCACTTTAAAAGTGTTTCGCTCGTTGTTTTGCAGACAGACCGGACAAATCATGAATATAACTTTCAGCATCCTTCTGACATAGTCACTGTAATAGTGCAGAGGAGAGGCTTCTTATTTAGACTTCCTACAGCTGTGATAAACCAGGTTTTATCCTGCATGTCTCTCTAGGTCTGTTAGCATGCCGTCATTGTCCATTTTCACTCGTTAGCTTTGAGTTCAAACTTTATTAAAGTCGGACTTCTGGCATTGTTTTAAGTCATCTTCAGTTAAACTGCTACAAAGGGATTTATGTGATGGGAAAACCTTTTAAGTTCAGTCAGGGGGGATGGATTATGAAACTAATTTAAGACCCAAGATGTAAGAAAGCTATCAAAGTGAATTTGATCCTGCACTAAATCTGTTGTTTTTCTCCTTGTAGGGAGATGTGTGTTTGGTCCTTTCCATGCACAAAACCTGATATCTGTCCTTCAAGGTGTCGCGCTTATTTCATGAATTTTTGTGAGACCATGTTGTGCAGGGTGAACCTCCGACATCTGTGTAGTTGAGGCTGGTGTGTAGTGATCACATCAAGCCGTTGACGAGCCCTTTCTCACACTCCTCGGCCAAAAGCTTCCAATGCTGCCGGTTCTCCTGGCATCCCTCCAACAACGGGGAGCAGAACTCCGACATTCCAGCCAAAGTCTGTGACAAACACAAGAAGGAGATTACATTTAATGAGTACTGACTTAAAGCTCAAAGACTTTTTCTTGTCACAAAGTTTTCTCACACTGGAGGAAGGCAAACAGCATGTTTAGCTAAGTGGAAAATAACCGGATGAAAGAGGAGGAGACAATATCTCTATATCTGTCTCTTATTTTACATCGGAAAGGCTTAAGTGGTAGAGTTAGTTGTTTCTCAACTGGAAGGTCGGGTGCTCCTGCAGCCACATGTCGATTTGTCCTCGGGTAAGACACTTTAACCCAAGTTGCTCCCGAGACAAGATTTTGTCTTTCAGCTTTTTTAGATTTAATTTAAAAATGAAAGTCAAAATCTTTGTTCTCAACATTTTGAAAGTATTCTCGTACTGCTAAATATTCAAGAAAACTCTCCCTTTTCCCTGGAAATAATTTCTTTCTTGTCACACTTCATTCTTATCATTTAAACTTCTCATATTCTCCTCATGTTCTCATTTCATGTTGTCAGTCTGAGAAACCTTTAGAGCAGCTCTGCATGATCTGCAGCTCAAAAAAACCTCCTTATTTATCTGATACTGACGTCAGTAAAAACTGTTATTTCAGCCTCTGCCTGAAACGGTTTGTTTCAGCTGCTGTCTCTTTAAAAACCCCACTCTCTTCTGGTTGGAAGCCTTCAGTGGGGCAGAACGCTGCAGGGCTGCCAGGGGAGGGCTGCTCTCCAGCGCAGGGAGAAGAGAGTCTATGTAAGAGGTTTCACCGGCTTACGTTGAGGTTTGAAGCCGTGGTGAAATTCTTGGTTTCATGTCAGGGAACTATCGTGCGATTTGCAGAATAAGCTGTTTAGCGCCCTCTGCAGACTCATCCTGGGATTACTCCAACATAAGTATACCTCGTGATCTGAAATTTTGCCCACGTTTAATTTGGACATCCAGCATTGTGACACTAAATGTGAGTTTTAAAATAAAGAATCAGCAGAATAGATTAACTTTAAACCTCACTTCTTCCTGATTTCTGGCTCAAATTCTCCTTTATACACAAATGTCTGCGGTAGCCATGAGCGAAAAAGTCTTTCCCAGCTCTTCATTTGGTTCAGATGTTTCCAGAGAAATAAAAAAAACCCAGCGACAACCACAAGTGAATTACCTCATATAACTGAGTACAGATGGCATCAATAAAGGACACTTGCATGCTAGGAATCTTATCTCTCTTCTCACGATTCATCAGGTCCTAAAGTGAAAGAGAGAAAGTTAGAAACATGACATGAGAACAAAAATGTAGAGACTGAAATTTTTTTTCCAATTTCAGGACAAATTAAGTCTTAGGTAAACTTGCAGTGATACAGTTCAGTGTCATAAATGTTGCACTTAATTGAGAAATGGTGTCTAAATGACAAAAAAAACAGGAAAAAGCACATTGTCATTAAACCATAAAGGCTCCAAATCAGATCCCTGAGGCACCCCACAGCTTGTGATGTTCTCATTAGTAGAAGAAGTTGCCTCTGAGCGCTGCACTTACGCTGGGTTCAATGTTGAGCTCTCGTCGCTCCTTATCCCCCTGTTCAAAGAACTCAGTGGCCACCAGCTCAGCAATCTGCACCAGAGAAAAGAAACTGAGGTCATACAAAGACCTTAACCCAAACAGGAAATTCTATTTACTGTCAGTTGATGATAAACTTAAAAAAACAAGATGAGACAAAACATCAAGAACTTTTCAAACATTATTAACAGTGATATCAATTATTTTCTTTTCCACTTGGCAACACCATCTACTTCTTTCCCGCATAGGGCTGGAATATATATATATATATATATATATATATTTGTGTACAGAAAACCATGTTGATTGAATCTGAGTGTATTATGTTGGAGTTGGAGCTTATAAAAAGAGTTCTTCCTTCTGCAGAATTTTGATTGACACCTGAAATGCAAATGCAGGAACTATGATGCTACCCAGCGGACCAATCACAGGGCTTGCTGTCAGCATTGTTTTGACATGTAGTTACATTTTAGAGGAGAGGCGCAGGTCAGGTAACATATGGAGGCTTCTGCGTAGGTGCAGGGCTATGCTAACCTACAGTGTAGCGTTGCTTGACGCAGAAGCATAAACCAGGATTGAGAGGGTTAACCCAGGCTAAATATCTTGAGAGGTGAATCGAGGATAAATCAGCTCCTGGAGTCTGAGCCCGGCTTAAAGTTGCAGAGATTCCACTTTTCCAACTAAGCTTCACATCACTGTCAGATTACTGTGAGATATTTATCAGTTTCAGGAGGATGTGTGACGTTTAAAAAATGCCGAACACAACTGCTTTTGTCGTGACCTCAGAAACACTCTGGCATATCCGTGACAGAAAGTTTCACGACCATCCAAGGAGGCTGATTTGAAGCGTCTTGGTCAAACTGTGAAACAACTTGAAAAGAACAGAAGAGACACGCACAAGCAAAGTTTATGAAGACGGCAAGAAAGAAAACACGCGGCATTCGAGCGCTGTGGAGAAAAACAGGCAAAAAGTGCAGTAAAGAAACAGCACGAGATGTGGAATTTAAGAAACATGTCAAGAACAAAACAAAGTAAAACGAGGTCTGGCAAAAGAGTCGAAGTCAGTCTCAGTTAATGTTCTCCGTCTGTTTATGGAGAGGAAAATGAGATCTGACTGCAGCCTGGAGCTCCAATCAGCGTCACTCTCTGTGTGTGTGTGTGTGTGTGTGTGTGTGTGTTGAAGCCATCTGCAGCTCGCTGATTGACTGTGTAATCAAGACTCAGTGTTACAGAGCTGCAGGAGACGGAGAGAGGGAGTCTATTCTAGCCGACTTAAACTAACACTTAGCATGAGGCAAATGTTCACCGCTGAGGCTAATTAACCCTGTCTTTATTTACTTACCCTCATGTCTGTCAAAACACAGAAGACTTTTTGTCTGCATAGCAAAGTGAGCGAGCTCCAAGTTAAAACAACTTCACCGCTTCATTAGACTTCCAACAACAGCAGAAAGACCTGCGGCTGCGTTTATGAGAACATGCAAACTGTTGATTCTGGAGGATGCTTCCACAAACCTCAGCCAGGTTTTTATCATCAGGCTGAAGAAAAGTTGGGTCCACTGGTCATTTGCAGGTTGATTTTGGTATTTTTAAGACCTGGCTCTTATTATTCTAAATATGTGGGGGTCTTATCTTCTAGGAAATAAAAGTTTTGGGATAAGTATTGTGGATTTCTTCAGCCGACAGTTACAACATAGGCTGTAATAGCTTAATGAGTGGCCCTTAATGGCCTGTGTCCACTGAGACCGAGTATTTGCTTTGGCATCGCCCATTTTCAGTCCAAAGTTCTGCTTTTTCAGCGCTCAACGCCCTGTACACAAAAACAGCCTCAGCACCAGCTGTTTTTTGTCACTGTGCTCACAGTGCTCTCTCAGATGAAAATAGTTAAAGGTCACATATTCTCCTCCTCTTCTTCAGTGTAAATAAGTCTCAGAGCTCCTCAAAACATGTGTGTGAAGTTTCTTGTTCTAAATCCACTCTGATCCTGTATTTGATCATGTCTATAAACCCCTCTATTTCAGCCTTGCTCAGAACAGGCTGTTTCTGTGTCTGTACCTTTAAATGTAAATGAGCTGTGTTTGACCACGCCCCCTCTCTTGAAGGGGGTGTGGTAAAGGTTCTTTGCAGCTTTGGAAATGTTCAATTTGTCTTTGTCTGAAAGTTTGTACAAAATGAGGATTTTACTGATAACAGCTGAGTTCAAACATTCTGAAAATAAAAGTTTAAGCCTGTGCGACTCAAAAGAGGACAGGGAGACAAAGAGGAAATAATCTCTCCTTCAGTGTTGGCAAATGAGAGGCACAGTTTGATAACTTAGAACCGGATGAGGTGCTGGTTATTGTGTGTGTGTGTGTGTGTGTGTGTGTGTGTGTGTGTGTGTGTGTGTGTGTGTGTGTGTGTGTGTGTGTGTGTGTGTGTGTGTGTGTGTGTGTGTGAGTTTTTAACAGGAGAATATATTTGCATGTGAATGTTTACTGCACTCCATGTTTTCAGAGGTGTCATCTGAGGACAGCAGCACAGCTGTTCTTATTAATGATCCCTCACTTTCTACACACACACACACACACAAACACACACACACACACGCATGGAGCATGGAGTTTGTGTGCCTGTCATGACTTTCACCATCGCCGCGGTTCCTAACGAGGTGCAGACAAACGGAGGTGAGTCGAGAGAGGAAACAACAGGGACACGACTCAGAGACAGGTAAGGTCAGGTAAGGAGAGACTGGAAGGGTAATTGCATTATTTCTCAGCCTGGGCGTCGTGTTTGAGTAAATTGGAGTGGAAATTACACTTTTGTACGAAAAAGTTTGGAGTTGCTCTGCTTGCTAGATGGCGCTGTTGAGAAGGTTGAATCAAACGACTTTCATTCAGACTGTAAATATTAATGGATGAGTGTATGTGTGTTAGAAGCCTGAGTGAGGTCACCCATCTGCTCCTGCAGGGGGCGCTGGAGTCCCATCGATGGCGGTCTCCATGCTGGAAATGCTGTCTCAGTCTAACTTTCAGTCAACCTAACGACAGGCTGAGAGCTGGAGCTGAGGCAGGTTTTAAACCTCCTGACAAACCGTTACACCGCGCCCACCTGTCAATCATGTCAGCTACACGCTAACTATGGGTAACACGTATCGTTCATCAAATCAAAACAGAGCCTTTAAAAAAAAAAATTCCCCCCCTGTAAAATGTGTGCCCATGAGGACAATAACTAATCAGACCTATTTAGTTTTTTTGTACCAGGCTGTAAAAAAGTTAATTTCATTTGATAAGTGTCTTGAGCTTGAGATGCGACAGACTATTCCTCCACTGTGTGATTAAAAAAAAATTCAAATCAAACATGTATGTGTGAATGTTTGTACCCTCTTCTGCACCGGCCAGGGCTTGGTGATCGCTGAGATGTCGCATGCAGTCATCAGCATTGACCTGGAAGAGGAGGAACATTCATATTCATTCACACCGTATATATTAATAATCATTCACATGTTTTAATTATCAGTAGAACCTCCCTAAAGCATAGAGCTACATTTTGGGCTTTATGGGCTAACATATGGGGCTGGATATCATGAACATACTCAAACAGAAATATTTTGAAAGGATTGTGATCAATAATATGTAGAACTGGACACAAATCAGCTCCTGTTGCTCCTGACTCTCTGAAGAGATAAGACCGCTCACCCTGTTGTTCTCTCTTTTTTCTACTAACACATCTGTAGCATGTGTGACGCCGACCATGGAGGAGAGAGGGAGAGAGAGAGAGAGAGTCCTGTTTCTACTCAGGCTCTCATTGGCTATAGTAGCTTAGGAACAGTGAATGGAAGCTCCTGATTGGTCACATGGGGTGTCAATCAGTGCATGAATTAGAGCAGAGAACACAGTTCATCACAGATCAGAAAAAGTGGTTAGTGAGTAAAAGCATGAAAAGTCCAAAACATTATTTAAAAAATAAAAAATAAAGAAAATGACATTCACAAATTTCTGATGATGTCTTTGAATTTTAGACACTCTATCTTTTTTATACCAGACTGAGCTGATAATATCCTTACTCTAACCCTGACTCTTGGAAAAACATGACTTGTCTCACTGTTGATGTTCTGTTAGCGTGTATGTGTTGGTGTCAAAAGTTCTGGAGGTTTGGCGCTCACCTCAGCAGGTCTCGGTGATGTTCATCCTCCCAAACAAACTGACTGTTCTTGGTGAGCTCGAAGAACTCCCCCCGCCTCCTGAAAACACACACACACACATATATAATGACACAGCAGATAATTATCCGCATATTAAACATACTTACATCCCCTGCCACCCACAGTCTAGACTGAATGAGGGATGAGATAACAGCTGTAATCAGGGAGGACGATAAGTGGAACAAATAGGGCTACAGAAGAAAAAAGTTGCAGCCAAGATGAAAGAGACGACACTTCACCAAGTTTCTGGTGAAACATACCGGCTTTAAGCCTTTAAAGGGAAATTCTAGTTTGCTCTGTTTTAAATATTTAGGAGGTGAAATGAGAAATTGGTATAAAAAGATTTAGAAATGATCCAGTAGCGTACTTCATCCAGCAGCTGCAAAACGCCTCTGTGAGCAGGTATATACGCCCAATTAAAAAAGTACTAAAAGGGTTTCTTTCCAATGTATAGATTAAGATTGTTTGCCTTTAATCATAGGGACAGCTTGAGAGTGTGACGTGGCTGGTACAGGTGGAGAAATAAACGGCAGGTATAAGTCCCGGGCAGAGGTGTAACGTAATGAATCACATTTACTTGCGTTACTGTAATTGAGTAGTTATTTGGTGTACTTACTACTTTTTAAGTCGTTTTTAAAATCTGTACTTTTACTTAAGTAGGTTTTCTGTTAAGTTTTGTAATTAGCTACATTTTAAATCACATCCGTTACTGAGTAAAAAAAAAATAGGCCTGCTATGAAGCACCGGAGCGACGAGAGGCAGAGAGAGAGAGAGAGAGAGAGAGAGAGAGAGAGAGAGAGAGAGAAGAGAGAGAGAGAGAGAGAGACAGAGACAGGAGGGAGAGAGAGAGAGAGAGAGAGAGACAGAGAGAGAGAGAGAGAGAGAGAGAGAGACAGAAATGGATAAAAAAAACAATAAATGGATTATATTTCATCTCAGGTTTAGTTGCAGCTACATCAGCCTTTGAAGCTGCATTTGAGACTAACTAGCCTCAGAATAATAAAACTAAAAACACAAATACTTTTTATACTTTTTATGATTGAGACAAAGATCCTTTTAGTATTTTCTTAAATAGTTTAAAGGCTTTATATGAGATTTTTCACACTTAAATAGAAATCCAGTATATCCTCTGAAAATAACTCTGAGTCATGACTGTCTACAATGGGTGTAACACCCGAGTCCCACTGTCTGTGATGTTTTCAGAGTTTTCAGAGTCCTATCTTCAGTTTGTTTACATCGCCAGGACAGCCGGCTGACTCCTCCCCTCACGTATAAAAGTTGTTTAATTGAGGGACTAGAGAAAAGAAGAATAACATACTGTACTCACTGATTAACTGTGTTTCTAGATCACGCTCATTTCAGGTAAATTTACATGCAGTGTGAAGATACGAGCATAATAAAGATCGCTAGCATTAGCATGCTAACACAACAATGCAGCGCAAGTTGTTTAGGTTTCATGCTGATGCTCAAGGGCGACATCTGCTGGATCAAAAAATCTCATATAAAGCCTTTAAACATTTCCTTTCATAAAACAGCTGATCACTTGAACATATAATCCTTGATTATTTATTCATCATTATTTATATTTTGTTTTTGTCAATGGGGTAGAAAATAAAATGTTTATCTGAAAAGATAAACTTTGTAAAGATTTGCCTTTAATTAAAAAAACTTTGAGATTAATATCCTCTCGTCCTTTTGTCACGACACACGAGAGTTGCGTTGTCAAAAAAAGTAACTAAGTAACTTTTACTCAAAGTACATTTTAAACAAGTTACTTTTTACTTTTACTTTGAGTACATTTTTAAACTAGTACTTTTACTTGTACTTGAGTAAAATTGTATCAAAGTAACAGTACTTTTACTTGAGTAGAATATATTAGTACTCTTTACATCTCTGGTCCCAGGCTAGCTGGTTAGCATCAGTTAGTTGACAGACAACAGGCGACACAGCACTCTTATTCTACAAACCTTAATATCGACCACACAACGACTCTATGGTGTTGTATCCACTGATCATACATGAACAGGTAAACATAGAACCTGCACCGACTCGTCACTCTCGGTCTCACACGCTCAACAAGACGGCTGTCAGAGTAACAACCTTCTCTTTCACAAACTCAAAACACAACAGATGCACCACCTTGCGGCGCTATTTTGTACTACAACGATATTCTGGCTGTAGAGCTGTATGAATGAGCTGATTCTGATCGTACACACTCAACTCTGAAGCCTCTGGACGCCGTCTATCACTCTGCCCTCAGATTCAACTTTGCACAATTCCTTTCTAAAAACACAGACTGGCAAAATCAGGATGCTGTGAGATGATGAAAACCAGTTTCTAGTCCATTTTCGTGCTGACTGAAACTAATGACAGTCCATCTGTCCAAAATAGCCTGCAGTCACTTCCCCTTTGCCCAATCGGACTTTTCCTTGTCCCGTGCCCCCTCTCCAGTCAGGTTAGCATCTGGGCTTGACATTTGGTACCTACTTCATGTACAGCGCCAGGTCTGTGGCCAGAATAGCCCTCTCGATCATCTTCAGAGTGGCCTTGTACTCGTCCAGGGAGAGACCGCTCAGGATCTGGTTTCCCTGGAGAGGCGGTGAATCAGAAGAGGAGGAAGGAAAGAAACAGCGTCAGTGTAGGGACAGGTATGTGTTTTATTTAACGAATAATCTGGGCCGTTTCTAGCCTTATCCGGGGGGCAAATGCTAGATGCTGTTTGGCAGCCCCTCTTTTGTCAACGCCTTTCAGATGATCTGTAGATATGCATCAATCTGTTACACTTTAGGAGGAAAATAGATATGTGAAACCCTCTCCTAAATTCAAATAAACATCTCAAGTTGACCCAAGAAAGTTCAACCTGCACAAAATGATTTTGTTAGTATCCTTCATTGATTTTAAAGAGGACATATTATCCCCCTTCTCCACCTTTTCAAACAGTCCCCTGTGGTCTAATGAAACATCTGTGCTGTGCTTTGGTCAAAATATAACATGAATCAAGCACCAGAGGAGGTTTGTGACCCTGTATAAACCAGCTCTCTCAGAACAGTAGACATCACTCCTTCATTAGCGAGAATAAAAATGGAAGACTTGCACAAAAGTTTTGTTCTAGTCTGGGGGTGGAGTTCATGGGTGGAGATACCAGGGGAGGGGAGGGTTTTTTTGTTTTTTTACCAGAATCCCACTGTGACATCACAAGGAGAGCACATTAGAAACGGAGCATTTTTCTCTGTGTTGTAAGACTTATGCAGACCACAAACAAAGGACTGGATGGGTTTATTTCACATTATGTGGGTCAGTAGACACTCAGGTTACCCAAATATATGTTCAGAAACACTGTAGAAGTGGATTATTCATAATATGTCCCCTTTAAAGCATATACATTTGTTACTAAACACATGTCATGAGGGGGCTTGGCTGGCTACAACAAACAGGTCATTTTAATTCTCCACAAATACTGTCTATTGAGGCTGAACTATTGAGGCTTCGGGACCCCTAGTGGCTGCGGGGGGTTAATGCGCCACATAGTCCGGATATGGCAAGAAACGGCTCTGTTAATACTTACAAGGAGTAAAAATGTACACACAGATGGATTAAAACTGTGTAATATAAAGAAACTATGAACTCATAGGATTAATTCTCTGATAGGCCACTCAAGAGGTTGCTATGACAACACTACAGACTGCATAAACACACTCCTAAATGAGTAGCTGAATGCGGCCCACACACCTGGAGTGTTTATTAGCATGTTCATTGACACATATTCTATGTCTCCTCCATTTCAAGTGCTGCTGAGAGCGTGTGTTTGCATTAATGCTTTTCAGCCCGCATGAAAACGGTGCGCTGCAGCCGTGTGTGCTCGTGAATAACGTCCGTGCAGCGGCGGGGTTAAGTGGTGCCGTGGAGCCAGGAGTGTATTTAGAGTTTGTTTTGAGGCCATAAAGATCAGAGCGGGCTGTTAGTCACTCTGTTTTATGGGGGCCATCAGAGTCTTCTAAGGTAGGTTAGCAGCTGAAAATGAGCAGAATAGGCGTAATAAAGAAGAGGGAGAGAGATCGAGGATGCTGCAGCGAGCAGCGAGCAGGCAACGACATTAAGGCCTGACGTAAACAGCTTGTTTCACTGTGCAGAAAGCAGCAACCTCACATTGACTGATTGTTTTAAACTGTGTGACCCAGTTTGAGAACGCTTTCAGAGTGCAGATTACAGTTTTTATATGATGTACACATCACTGATAACAGTTTATGTTTCCACAGTAAATCAGTCGTTAGGAGACTCTTTACAGGATTAAGAAGTCAGTTTCTTCTGCACAAAAAACGAAGACGGGTTAAGTTTGAAAAAGATCAGTTAGGAGAAACATTTGTTAAGGAGTTCTGCCGACACTAAAGTACAGCTGAGGCAGAAGATTTTGACTTTTACTAGAGGACATTTGGGGCATTGCATAGTTTTATCTTACAAAATAAACATCATGCTGTATTTGAGAAGGATTGAAACCGAGCAGCAACCTCTGATGTTGCAAAAAACTGCAGTTCCTCTAGTGTCCACTTGAGGCTGGCTGCAAAAGCCAATGGATCCCCATTATGTCACATATTAGAAGAGTATTTTTTAGCAGTTTAAACTGTGGTGGTGGAGATGGGGGGGGCAGTAATAATTAGAGGCGCAGAGAATTGAGGTGGGTGTGCAATAGCCGTTGATCACGAGGTGTAAGGACCGCCTCAGCTCCACCCCTTTTCCTGTTTCTACATTGGTCAAAAGTTAGTTTGAGTCGGGGCGGCGGGGACGTGGCCTGTGGTTGCATTCCTGCTTGTCATTCCCCACTCTCTCTCTCTCTCTCTCTCCAGTTCCTGGCCTTGTCCACTGTCCTGTCTCTAAATTACAGTAAAGGCATAAAAAGCCCCAAAAATAAACCTTTAAAAAAACAAGTTTGAGTCAGCATTTCCAATATAGCCACCTCCCTCATTGGAGAAGAATCTCCAGTGAAACCAAAGGGTGACGTCACTGACATTACGTCCGTGTTTTCTACAGTCTATGGTTCGCAAGCTGCGACAGCAACGCTGACAGAAACACTGAAGACTACTAAAAATAATCATCTCATGGCAACGACTTACTGTTCTGGGACAGTATGAATAACGATTGTGGAAGTAGTATCAATAAGAATTGAAAAACTACTTTCACCTCTGGTCTTTTGTGACAGGTAATCTTTGCTAAAGACTCAGCTTGTGTCGTGCAACCGATTTCATTTAGCTATAAGCTAACCTGCACTCGGTTTGCACGATCTACTGGAGCGAGTTAAAGCTGTATTCAGTGAGACGAGCTCACAGCTTGGCTGGGATTTGTGAACCCCCTTTTTTCTGTGGTCAGGAAACCAGTGAGGGATGGTGTCCTGGATTTTGCTCCGGGTACAAAATCTGTTTGAGGAAATGAGTCCAGATGAGCTGGCACGAAAAGGTTGCCAACACACAAAAGGCTTAACGGAGGATTCACATACTGATTACATTACACGGTGGAGTTATTGATTGATGAGGTCAGTGTGTTTATAACATCATGCAGCACAACTTCATTACCAACTCTTGTGAAGTTTTCTTTATATTATAGCTTGCTATTCAATGATTCCTTTCTGCAGGGGATTTTGGCCTCAGCAAAGGGTTCTGGCTTCCGCGATAGAAAACACACATCAAACCTCCGACAGGAATCTCGAGCACAGATGAGGGAATATCTACAGGTTGCTGTTGAAGGGGCGACAGCGGAGATCTGAGACTCACGACTCAGCGTCAAAGACAGAACGGAGCTCTGCAAGCCATCGACGTTATAAATGGATTTCTGAGTGTGGCGGTGAGCCGTGCAGTGGAGCAGGGACACTGGGATGGGCGAAGACGAATGGTCTTTGTGGCGCCTGCACAGAGCTCAGCTGCTGCATACTGAATCAGCTGCAGCTGTGAAAGGGCAGCTAATGTCAGGATTTACATAACTGAGAGATCAGATCTGTGGAGTCATTGAAGAGCCGTTTAAGAATAAATCTGTTTGAGAGAAATCAAATAAATACGGAGATTTCAAGACCGATTCATACAAAGTAAAGAAGAATATCGAGCATTTAAAGTCATTCTTGAATGTCTTTAATCATACATCTTTAAACATGTATATTCATTTAATATCAACACTTTCATACATCTAAAGCAGGGAGGCTTTGGGCTACCTGTGATGGATTAGTTTCTGCGTTGACACTTGAAGAAGGTGTTGCTAAGGGCTCAAAGGACACTCTGAAGCAGTGGTTCTCAACAGGTGGGTCGGGAACCTAAAGTGGGCCGTGAAGCCGTTCTCAGTGGGTCATGAGACATTTTATCTGGTTTTGGGTTTGGGTCCTGAGGCTCGACGAGTTGGGAAAGAGTTTCACGTTCGGCTTTAATGTGATTGTTTATTGTTTTTAAGCACTGCTCTTTGTAACCTAAATTAAGCACGACCAATAAAATTGCATAAAGCTTGAACTATGCATGCACCTTGCAAACCATGCTAATGCTAACAATGCTAACATCATAACATTCATTTAATGTTGTACAGTAATTATGTGTGAATTGAGACTTTTTTTTTTTAAAGTTAATTTTTGCTTTTATTAGTTAGGACATCTGAAGAGAGACAGGAAATATTTGGTGGATAGAGTGGGGGGATGACATGCAGCAAAGGGTCCAGGTCGGATTCGAACCCACGGAAGCTGCAACAATGACTGTAGCCACTGTACATCAACCATGACAGCTAAATCTTCAAACTCAAAATGCGTGTGTGTGTGTGTGTGTGTGTGTGTGTGTGTGTGTGTGTGTGTGTGTGTGTGTGTGTGTGTGTGTGTGTGTGTGTTTGTACCGGGCTGTTGAGGATCATGAGGCAGTGGTCGAAGTGGTGATGCTCCATGGTGGAGTGGCAGTAGAGCTGAGCCAGTGGGTGGTCGCTCCTGGAAACACACACACACACACACACACACATAATGATAAATACAATGAGCTCCCACACACTCGTATACAATCAGACGTATAGTTCTGTGACTCATGCTGCACCTCTGTATGTAGGAGTTGTTGACTCCTCTGTGGTCCAGGTCGTGGCTCAGGGTGGCAATCATCAGAGCCAGAACCTCCAGGTCGCTCAGATAACACTGTCAGGAGACACGCAGGAAGTTAGAGGGAAGGATGGAAATAAAAAGAAACACAGCATCCACATACAGCAGCTTTGTTTTTAATGGATCTGCTGCCAATATACAAACAAACAAAGTCTTCAGACTGCGGTTTCAAGCTGCAATACTTCCAACCCTGTAACAGCTTCTACACTAAACCTGAAAGCAGGTTTCCAACAGAGATGAACGTGTGATCCTCCAGCAGCTGATAGTGGCAAAGATTTGAAATAGAAATGACTCTTATTCAGTGTTTTATTGACAGTTTTCTGAGTGTTTTCTTTAGTTTATGGGCCAGGTCTTATTTATATTCCGAGAAAAGATTTTAAATGTAGAAAATTAAGTGAAAATGTCAATTAATGGGCGGACTTGATAAGAGATTTATTTTATTTTATTTTATTTTATATTTTATAAAAAACAATTTTTTATTCAAAAACCCTGTTGCAATTTTTTTTTTAAGAACGAGCTCATTTTGAGGGTTGCAGTTGGCCAAGTGGTTAGGTACCACTCCATGTTTGGAGGCTAGTCCTCCTAGCAGGCGGTCCAGGTTTGACTCCTTTCCCTCATGTCATTCCCCACTCTCTCTCTCTCTCTCTTTCCTCTTTCTCATTTTGCTGTTTCAACCTGTGGATTTCCTCTGCTGATTAAACTCTCTGATCATCTGAAACAACGTCCGGCTGAACTAACCTGTAAGCGTCCTGACTTGAGCAGGGCAAACATGCTCTGAGCCGTGTTGAAGGCGTGTCTCCAGTTGTGATACGCCACGTTCTTCCTGTAGTTCTTCTTCACGCTCAGAACCCACTGACACAGACTCTGCAGGGGGAGGGGAAACACAGAATTAAAAAAACAGAGTTACTCCATTTCTGTCGGCCATATTGTGGAGTACTTTAGTGAGAGTGACCTTACCCAGGCCATGAAGGAAAGACCGGCTCTGTGACATAATCTCATGGATTTATCTTGGGTCTATTTTATCTTGGGACAGCGACATTTGTTCAGTGCAAAACATCTACAGCCGTCGAACAAATGGAGCTTCTTCACAGAGTTGTTGTGGCTTTAATCTTCTGTTCTTGGGCATAAAATGTAGGACAGAGATCCATCTTTTATCTATTTAGTTTTTTCTCATTTAGGGTCGCGGGGGGGTGGGGGAGGCGCTGGTGCCGAACCCAGCTGTCATTGGCCGAGAGGCGGGGTTACACCCTGGACTGTTCTGACAGGGCTGACATATAGAGACAGACAACCAGGCACACTCACATTCACACCTACGGACAATTTAGAGTCAGCAGTTAACATAACCAGCATGTCTTTGGACTGTGAGAGGAAGACGGAGTACCCAGAGAGAACCCACACATGAACGATGAGAACATGCAAACTCCACACAGAGAGGATCCTGTCAGATGGGGATTCTAACCAGGAGCCTTCTCGCTAACCACTGCAGCACCCCGCAGCCAAAGACAGACATACAGTATAAATGAAATTTAAAAAACACTGTGAGTGGGGGTTAAATAGTTAAATGGCAGCAGAAGGAAGACAGAGCAGTAGTGATGAGCAGAGGGGCTCGACTGTCAGGATGTTTGTCTTTCTAAAAGTGCACGCTCAGCACGCTGCCAGCTAATCAATGCGCTCCACTGCTCAGCATGTTCTCCAGAAACACACAGAGAGATAAACTGAACTCAAGTCCTGTTTCATTTTCTCCACAGGAGCATTGCACACTGATGATGATGAACGACTGCAGCATTTAATATGTCAGAAAAAGTGTTTTAATAATAACGTGCGGCACAGTTTGACCACCCCGGGGGCCGTGATGCTCCGGGGTGGTCAAACCTGACAGGCCGCTCTGCTGGAGGGCCAGAATGTCCTGCAAATCAATGGCTCTCTTTATGAGGTCCGCTCTCCGCAGACACTCCGGAGGTCAGCCACAGACACACAAGGACCACTTCAGGTGGCGAGCGCTGCCGAGGACCGGAGCCAAACCCGCTTAAAAAAAACTGACGCCAAGAGATGCAGCAAGGAGAGAGGAGGGTCTGCTGGACGGAGATGGAGGAAGAGAGATTTTTGAAGGGGAAGTGTTTAAGGTGAATGATGCTGCTCTGTGTATATGTGTGTGAGTGTGTGTGTGTGTGTGTGTGTGTGTGTGTGTGTGTGTGTGTGTGTGTGTGTGTGTGTGTCTCTGAGTTAAGGATGCAGGCAAATACACAACCAAGAACTCACTCGCGTACACACATGTTTTAACGTTCTAATGCTGCTCACAATGAAATCCTTTTCTGCATTGAATGGACCAGGAAGCTGATCTTGACCTGTACCGGGATCAACAACAAAAACAGGTCGCGTCGGGACAATGTGGCTGCTGTTGTCTGTTGTTGTGGTTCTGTGTTGCCGTGATACGGTCGTAATAATAACGCCGTGTGTATTTTGTTGTGATGTAATGCAGGCTTTGTCTCCAAAGCCGTAAACACTACCGGGTATGAGAAAAGAGTCCATTTGCACACTCATATAAACAGCGTTCTTGAAATGATAAACAACACATGTTTGATTGATAGGGTACGGTGGCCCCGAGAGCTCAATCCAGTGTTGTTTAAACACAACCATATTAACAAAGCATCATCAAGTTGACATAATGACACCACAAAACCAAATATCACACCCACACACAAAAAAAAAACAAATTACAGGAATGAATACAACAACAGAGCTTTAAGGAGAACACATCCAACAACAACAATGGAACCAAATACAGAAACACGAGCACACGTCACAGCTGTTCATCTCCCTCCACGGGCGCCCAGTTTCTGCTCGCATCACGTTTAAAACTCTGCTGCTCGCTTACAAAACAGCCACAGAAACGACCACAAATTACCTAAACTCTCTCACCCAGGTCTATACTCCCTCCCGCCCACTATGCTCTGCCAATGGAAGGCGTCTGATCCAACCTTAACTACAGGGCCCTCAGGGCGCACTCACACTACTCAATCCGTTCAGTGCCTAAGGACGCTTCACCCTTAAAGTCCAGTTTGTTTGACTAGTGTGAGTGCTCCGATCTGTGCTCGAGCACACTACACTTCCTTGGCCCTGGCATGCTTTGAAGAGGTGTGCTTCAGCACGGTACAGTTCATGCACGAGCAAAAAGTGGACAGCTTTCATTCAGGAGAAATCCCAGAGTGTCCAGTCTGTATCTGACTAACATGACTCATGAGACACAAAGTCAGTAAAGTAGCTGTCATGTTCTCTGTGTTGTTCTCCGATGTGCAGACGCGGACTCAGCCGTGTGTCTCTTTTTTTTTGTTGTTCTTTCTTCGAGTCCGTCTGTTTGTAAACACGCTTCATCATAACATAAAGCCATAATGCATGTGCTGTGTTATGAAGTTATGTACAAGAGGTAACCTTGCTTAGGCCCGGTTTGTCTTGCAGTGTGACCGCAGGCCGTGAAGGCCAGCAGGGGACTGGGGAGGGGGAGGGGGGTAATCGTGCTTCATTACAGCACGGTACGGATTGAACAATGTGCCCGCGCCCTAAGGGGCACAAGACCCATCAAGCTCCCACTTGAGCAGACTCTGTCTTCTGAGGGCCTACTGGACTTTTAAGAACTTCTTCAAGACCAGGTGCCCCTTGTTAAGTAAATCAACATCAGCTGCAGAGCTGCAGAACAGGGTAATATACAGACGTAACACAACATTTGGAGGAATCTTCATAAAGTAAAACAAAAACATTTGATTCAATCTCCAAGGGGATTTCCAGCATATATAAAATATATTGATGAGGAACAAATTTAAAAAAGACGATCAGAGGATTTGAAGATAAAATTATTGATTCCAATCCCATCCCATGATTCCATCCAATCCCAGGTCAGTTCTTACCGTGTACTTCATCTGGAAGTTCTGGACCAAGTTGAGGTCGACGAACATGCGGATCGTACCCAGCGTGGTTTCAGCATCCGACAATTCAAAGTCACTGAAGGTGAAGTCCAGAAGACGCAGCGACTGAGCTGACGGCACTGTGGCTACCTTCAAACACACACAAACACATAAAACGCAAACATTAGGACGATCAGAGCCGACGTGGGGTTCAGTGATATAAACACATTGATATGGAAGTGGATCATCTGCATACATGTTTATAATGTAACAGATTCTGAATTGTTACTTTGCTGATGTAAGTGCAATTGCAGTTACAGTCCCAGCTCTGTATGTGTCACACACTGTAACAGCCTCTTGGGTTGATTGCACCCGAAAAAAATCAAGCCTGTGTCCTAGATACCGAGTGACACATTCCCTCTCTGGCTCCTGGGAGAAACCACTTAATCAGGTTATGTTGTTAGTTCAGCCACTTCTCTGAGAGGAGAGAACAGAACAGGACCTTTTGAGACAGTCAGGTGGTGTCATTGTTAAAGAGGAGACTGGTGTGAAAGCCGGGCTGCACTTATGGTTCTAGTTTGGAAGCTGCCTCTGAGTGCTGTCAGGAACCAGTCAGGTACAGGAGAGCCAATTAAAACAATGATGAGTCCGTCCGGCTGCAGGGGGATGCTTCAGTGTTTTGTACACTTTATTTAAAAAGTGAAAAAGGCCAAAGATTACACAAGAGGATTAACATAGGGACAGGCATGAAGCTTTCCTTTCAATATGCATTTTGAGAAAAAGTCGAAATGTGGAAAATGAAATTGAAACAACTTTGAGAATAAAGACAAAATTATCGAAACATTTGGACTTTTTTCTCAAAGTGCATGATGGGAAAAAAAGCAGGCTAGCTAGTTAGTTAGCTTACAGGATGTATTAATAACCTTGTAAAGTATTTTAAAGTATTAATTAAAAAAGTGAGAACAGAATCAGTAAGGAGGGAGACAGTTGTTTTCTAAGAGTCATTAAACTGAAGCTGTCGAGCTGCGGAGGAGTCGACCCTGTGGAGACGTCTGAAGGACAGTTGGAGATTAATGAAATAAAAAGCTTTTATTCAAACATGGCAACGCAGGCAGCCTCTTCATTATGAACTCTTTTTCTACAAGGCTGTCGGCTCAGCAGTGACATCACTGGGCTACAAAGACCAATGACCTTGAAAGATCATTTTCTTGAATATAACCAACTCTTCACTGCTCCTTCACAAGCTGCAGAACCGCCCAGACTGACTACACAGTGAAGTGTTTGTGCACTGTCTGGTCTCTCTGTGAAACTTTGCATACATCAGTGAAATATCTGATGTGTGAAACTTCATCTACTCTCTGCCTCTGCATCACAGAGGTGTGCTGTTTACACTGAACAAGCACCAACATATACCGCGCAGCACTGGCTAATTCATCTCAGATAAATGTACTCAAGTGGTTAAGTTGGTCCTGAGAAGGAACAGGACAAGCAAGGTTTATTTTTAGGCGCTTCACACCTTTATTTAAGAGACAGGACGGTGGATAGAGTCAGAAATTGGAGAGAGAGAGGGAGAGAGGGAGAGAGAGTCCTGTTTCTACTCAGGCTCTCATAGTAGCCCAGGAATAATGAATGGAAGGTCCTGATTGGTCACATGAGGTGTCAATCAAAAAGAGTCAGAGTGCATGAATTAGTGCAGAGAAATACAGTTCTTTGTCGTCTGCTTTGTGCGTCAGGGCCTTTAGAGACTCCCACCCAAAACAGATATTGGGTTGCTGGATTTTTTTTTTTGGTTTTTGAAGTATTTATTTTTCTTAATTCTAAGATATCCCCTTTAAAAGAGCGTCTGCAAAGAAAGCAGCCATACAGAATGACCTCATGTTCAGTCAAACTCAGCTTCCTCTAACCCTCAGGGTCAACATCTGCCTGTGTGTGTATGAATGTGACAGTGTGTGTGTCAGTGTGTTATATCCTGCATGCATGCTCAGGCTCTGATGCTCGTGTCGGCGTATGAAAGTGTGTATTTTTAAATGAATAAATTTGAATTTACCGCGGTTACCTGGAGTTCCCGGGACTCTTCGTCTGCAGCAGAGGCGTGATATGACAAGACCTGGAACACACAAGAAACGTAAAAACATGAGCTATGCACACACACACACACACACACACACACACACACACACACACACAGGTTTGCAGTTCAATCTCCTGCAGTCCAAGCGTCCTTGTTTCTGAACAGCACTGTAACCAAGCTCCACCATCTTTACGGCCTTTGTACTTCCCTCCAAGACCGCCATCATCTCTTTTTTTCAGCTTTATCTCAGAGTACATTTGAGCCCTCTTTGATGTCTGCTGGATAATAACAGTCCAATTTTGGGCCATTTTCAAACCTTCCCTGTGCTTCAGCCCCTTCCTGTGTTAACGTGATGAAAGCATGTGAGCGCCAGTCTCTGAAGCATTGATGATACTTCCTGACAGAAATTTACACTTTTCCCTGAAAAATGTATTAAGTGGAAATCAGACGAAATGGGAGGGAGAAACATTTACATTTCAAACATTCTCTTTTTCTATAATTAATCTCTCTCTCCTGTCCGGGCTGCAGTGGCCACATGCACATGAGCAGTAGAGCAAACGGCACAGAGGTTAATTTGTTCCTGCCCAGTCGGAGCGAGGTCTGGCCGAACACGCATGAGTGGAGGCTGCTGGGCTGCAGAGGAGGCGGGCGTCAGCTGCAGCCGAGAGGAGACGTCACCCCTGGCAACCTGAAGCTGACAGCTCCACCACTGAGTGTGTGTGGGCTCACTTCTAATGAGTTTGAGCGTCACACAGGCTGAAGGCAGGAAAAGTGTCGAGCAGCAGCCTGAAATCGTCCTGCATCGTCCTCATCACTGTCACTCACACGCCCACATGTGGCTCTCACACACACACACCATGCACTTCAATATATTAGCGAGGACCCTCACGTCCCCTCGCCACTACAACGCAATCTTTTACAGCTAATCTACCTGTCACATCCAAACGCTCCAACATGTCAAGGCACAGACACTTTTTTAAAGACTTTTCTCACATACCTGATAGATAATGATTGATGACATCATAACGCACTTTTTCCTTTTTTGTATCCATCCTACTTTTTCCTGCTTTGATCAAACCCTGCAGCTCAACTGAGGAGACGTTACATTAGCATAAATAAAAAAAGCTGATCGTGAGGTTTCTGATGAAGACTACAAAAAAACAAGATGCAAATGGATGTGTACTTGAGAAAATATGAAAGATAGAAGAGGAGGCAGTGTTTGAAGTGCAAATTAAGTTCGAGGAAATGTTAAAAAAGAACCATAGGAGGGTAAAAAGGTAACAAGACTATCAAGACGGTATTAAAGAGCAACTAGAGCTGAGAATAATGAGTTTCTCACATGCTTATAGAACGCTCTTTTCTGGAGTTATAGATGATTTTCCCTTTAGTAATATCACTCTCGAGGTCAGGATGTCGTTCTGGAGAGCTCTGCTGTGATACGTTCTTAAGGTATCTAGAACGACATCTTGACCTCCAGTGTTATATCACTTTTATAAGACAGTTATTCAAGCAGAGAATAGTGATAAAAAAAAGGTCACATATTATTTAAAATCCTCTTCAACATGTTTCTCTAACTCTAATATGTGTCTCTAGTCCATCTACAAGCCCCCCAATGATGAGAAAAGTCCATCCTCTCTTTCTTCTGCCTGCTGCACTTTTCAGAAAATGTGTGCTCAAACAGGCCGTTTGGAGATTTTCCCTTCATGATATCACAAAGGGCAGTAACCCCTCCCCCAGGTGGGTGACACTCCCACAGCTAGGTATTTGTTCTAACCCTCTGAGTCTGCCTTCTCACCGTAAACAATAGGACATGGAGCGAGAAAGACCGAGTCGACCCGATCCCTTCCAGAGAGGGGGCGTGGTCAAACACAGCTCATTTACATATTTAAAGGTACAGACACAGAAACAGCCTGTTCTGAGCAGGGCTGAAATAGAGGGGTTTATAGACATGATCAAATACAGGATCAGAGTGGATTTAGAACAAGAAACTTCACACACATGATTTGGGGAGCTCTGAGAATTATATACACTTGTTAAAAAGGAGGAGGATATGTGGCCTTTAAGTTGCATTTTCAGTGTGAAGACGAAGTGTGTGTGTGCGTGTGAGGCTGACCTCCAGAGTGACCTCCTGCTTGGCCCTGGCTCTCTCCACCGTTTCGTACATCTGTGTGTTCTGGATGCCGAGGCCGCAGAAGATGGCGAACGCCTCCAAGAACTGCTCGTCGTTCCTGTTGAAGGCCTTCACGCTGCCTGACGCCTCGTCCATTTTATTCACCAGCTGACACACACCTGCAGAGACACACAGGGACACACATGATACAATATATACAAACTGGCATTTAAAGGGTTCATTTTTACATTCATAATAACCAAAATCAATCAAAAAGATTTCAATAAAACATTTGAAAAATTTAATAACTGGAGGAATAGATTCAAGATTGTTGTAGATGAAAAAAATGGGACACATATGAACATTTGAACATTTTGTGCTCATAACGAGTAATTAGGGCGGTTTTTCTTCAGGGGGCACGAGGGATAAACAACACAGGAAACAAACATGGCGTCTGTAGATCAGGAGTCTGGAGCACCACGTGTTAGGCACTGTTACCAATAAAGTTTGAGACCTCAGAAAGCTCCCCAATTTCTGTGAGCCAGGCTTGGACATATTGAACTTCTCAAGTTGAATCTTGAAAATCGAGTTTGAGGATGTCACAAAATCTGTATTTTCAGCTGAGTCAGTATCTTTTTTAAAGGGTAGTAAAACTCAGTAAAACTGATCTGGAACCAAAAGTAGACACAACCAACCAACTAGCTGCATGAACACTCAACGGACTATCAAGCAGCTTGACTGGAGCAGCCCGTCTGTGACTGTAGACTGAAGAAAGTCTCGTCCTATCACTGACTGTTGGTAATATTTAAAATGAGATATGATAACTAGCTTTTGTCTACAGCTGGACTTTCACCTATAAGGCAGAATATTGCATCTCTTCTGTATTCATGAAGCGTTAAAGAAGCCAGGAGGACGCAGAACATCGGAGCGTGATGAATGGAGCTGCTTTGATCTCTCTCGTCAGCAGGACTCTTAAGAGACGATGAGGAGGTTTGATCCCCGGAGTCGTTACTCATCTTCATTTCCAACCAATGGAGCTGCGATCAGATAATTAGGCCGATTACAATCACTGTGATGGATAGAGTGGCAGGGCCATGAACAGACAGCTAATGAAAGTGCTAATGCTACGCTGGCTTGATGTTTTCTCAGGCCGCCAGTTTACGATTGTTAAAGCCTCTAAGTGTCGGTGCTGATGGAACATTAAAGCCTTCAAATGTGGCCACAGAGACGCTCTAAATGCTGCGCTGTTCACCTCGCTCTGGTTTCGTTCATTTATGAGGCTGACAGTTTCAGTAATAAAAATATACTTTAAAGGAACATTTCACCTTTAATTTCACCAAACTTGAACATCCAGTGAGCCTCTTTCACCAATGTATTCATACGATTTTTCTTAAAGGTACAGTAAGTAGTTTTCTCCTTCAAAATAAAATACAGACTTATGCTTCTGGGCTTCCGTACATGTGTGTTAGTGACTGTGTCTGCAGAGACTCTGTCCTCTGACTGGATTTTACTGTTCTGCTTTGTTCTGGTTGACTTGGGATGTTTTTGGGCGGGGAGCTGGTGTGTTTCCTCCAGCATATGACAGGGCAGCAGGCGAGTTTAGGAGTGGATACAATTTAAAGATTGGACGCGATTCAAAGCGGTGAATATGGCGGCACTGAATCCTAAAAAAAACCCAAAGCAGATACTGTCTTTTCCAAATGAAGAGGAGGCGGTGTTATAAACCCAGGTTTAGTACTTCAAAGGGAGATTCTTCAAGACAGAGAGGGAGAGAGAGAGAGAGCGAGAGAGAAGACCTTTACAGAATTTTATTTTCTTCACAAGAGTGCCGTCAAAGGGTTGTAAATATCACGGCTTGAAATGGCAGTTTGAAAAGGGCTAGAGAGAGAGAGATAGAGAGAGAAGGAGAGATAGAGCGTACCTATAACTCTGTCTTTCTTGCCGTTCCTGATGGGAGTACAGAGCAAACTCTTGATCTGGTTGCTGGTGTGATCGGGGTTTTCATCCTGCCAGAGGAAAGAAGGGATCATTACTCACGTTGGGGATAGAGGAGAGGAGAGATGAGGGGAGAGGAGAGGAGAGGAGAGGAGAGGAGGTGTACTGACTGTCCAGGGGAATCGTTGGTCCTTGGTGACGTCTGTGATGTTGAGTGGCTGCATGGTGTTTTTAACATACTGGGCGTACATGTAGTTAATCTGACTGACGTCACAGTCCCTGTGGAGACACAAGAACAACACAAACAACCTCTTAACTCAGGGTATAATGAGAACACACCACAGAACTCTGTGTGCACATATACAAGTGTACTCAGCAGAACCAGGAGACACTTTGAGTGGTTTACCAGAGTGGTACTTTTAAAGTCCTGCAGAGCTTCTGTCATTGCAATCATCAATTTAATATACTGTACTTGTTGCTTAGGATGGATAAACTTCTTCTGGAGTCCAAATGTATAACCAAGTGGAAACCTAGCTCTAATTTCCCTCAGAGACATTTATTGATTTAGTTTTTCACCCAGCTGCTCCTTAGATTCAGTCTGGCTAACGACACTGAAGAATAAAACACCTGCTGGTTATTGAGAGAACTGCAGCCCTGTGTCCACGCCGCAGCCTGGTTAGTGTCTGAAGCTGTCAGTGGCGCCCGTCAGCGGTTAATAAATGTGTTTGTTGTCTTAAGCTGCTCCGAGTCCAGCCACAGAGTCGACTGTAATTCTGCACCGTGGATGATGATGGAGACTGGATATGTAAACATAACATGAGGTTAAGGCAGAAGCCAGGGGATGTTGGCTGTAGTACCGCAGGGGGACAGTGTGTGTGTGTGTGTGTGTGTGTGTGTGTGTGTGTGTGTGTGTGTGCAGCAATTTGATCATATTTAAGACTGTAAAAATACAATAAATGCCCTTTAAATGAGTTTGGCATGCCGTTTCCATCACTGCAGATAGGAATAGAAATGGTGTGTGTGTGTGTGTGTGTGTGTGTGTGTGTGTGTGTGTGTGTGTGTGTGTGTGTGTGTGTGTGTGTGTGTGTGGATGTGGACGTGTGTGGCTCAAGATTCCAGCTGTCCCTCAATGAATGAGTTATGTTTTGGATGACTTTAAGACTTCAGGCTAATTATAACAATCTGTTCTGTCACACACACACACACACACACACACACACACACACACACACACACACACACACACACACACACACACACACACACACACACACACACACACACACACACACACACACACACACAGCTCTGATTGACGTGCTTGCACAGTAAGTGCATTTGTGCTCCAGTTTAATTACAAAAAAACACTAAAAATCCACATTTCCTCTCCCTCTATGATTGACTGAAACGAGGCCACAGAAAACAGCCGCGGGCGTCACTAACAACCATGACAGCGCTGTGTTAGCTTTCAATTTCAGGCCCACAATCGAACTCCAGATCCAGAAAAAGTTAATTTGCCCACTTTGTCAGAGTGAGCCGCTCCGCCCTTACATTCCTGAGGGCTGGCTCGACATCGCTTCGGCTCGACTGAACGCTCTGAAAAACAGACGCTGTGTCGTTTGGAGTCCGCAGCTGGAGGTTAATGTCAATATAAAAAGCCTCCTGCGGTTCCAGACGGTCAAAGCTGGCATCCTGCAGTACCCTCCCCCTCCTGCGGTGGCCCAGTTTTCTTTATGTCTCTGCCCCTCCCAGAGGAAATCCAGCACATAAACACAGCGGTATGTAAAGGCCGATCTAAACACGGGGGGGGAAACATCCAGGAGAGCAGGCGGTACTGGACAAGATAAGATATCTACTTTGTGTTGTCGCTGACAGCGTTGGGATTTGTTTTCTCCCCCAAAACACAGACGCTCACGACATCTGACAGGTCCATCTGCTCCACAGAGAGGAGGAAATCACAGACAGGGTGGATTGATTTGATGTCTCCAAACTTCATCGCCAACCTGGAGCTGCTCTGACAGCGAACACAAAGTCAGACGTGATAGAAAGTAAAGCTGGTGACCTTGTTCCTACAACACAGAGTTAAGTGTAACACTGTGTTTCAGACGCTTACGGCTCCAAAGATCGCACATCATTTGTCCCCACTATCTGCTCAACCTCAAAGTCTAACTCAGAAAGCATACAGGCAAAAAACCTTTCAGCCCCAAAAAGACGTCCTGCTCCGTGCAGTTTGCTCCTAGGTTGTGTCTGAACGTGGAGGAAATACTGTCTCCACTTTCACTCTGAAATGAGCTGCACTCTCGGGCTAACCGAGAAGATGAAGACTTAGGGGAAACTTTTCCATCTCTATGTAGAGGTCACACTCAAGGTTTACCGTTTCAGGCAAAGCTTCCCTTCTCACTGGAGCAAGCAGGGACAACTTGAAGGAAAAAAACAACAATCTCATCCTAGTCGTCTATGAAGGATCGGCTCCACCTCGACCCAGAGCGAGAGCAGTGGTACAGGTAATGGATGGATGGATTTGAGACCAATGTGGCCCGAGCAGATCGATGCATGTGTCATCACTCTTAACACACTTCATACCACGTGAAAATACGGCAAGATTAGATGTTCAGACGGGGAATCTGACAGATATTGGCCCGATGATCTTGCAGCATGTTGCAGAACATGCAGCATGTTCAGATATGCAGCTAATCCCTGATTAGCTGCATATCTGTCTTTATCTTCTGTGTGGTAGAATGTACAGCATGCAGTGAGTCTTTGTATCTTCGAATCTTTTTTTAATCTGAACAAGTCAGTGGCACAAACAACTTCCTGTGGGTGATTTCCCCACAGGATTACTTTGCAGCGGTTGCAGCCACGATGTTGCAGCCGGCCAACACAATCTGATGGACCAGTGTAAAATGGTTTGAACCTTTTACCCAGAACTTCCACCAGATAGGCATGCATTGCGTGTCAGCTCCGCTCCGTCCATCAACACCCACAGGCTGTGTTCTCAGCACTGCCTCTGGGTGCACCGGGCTCCGGTATCCTGCTAAAACTTTGGGTATCCGCTGTAGAGGAGTCCGGACCGCTGGAGCTGGGACGTAACACAGCAGAGCCAGTGGAAGCACACACATTGACTAAAGTAGAAACCCTTCAGCTATGCTTCTTGACTGAGCCGAGCCGGACGGAACAAGCATCTGGTGGAATTTATCAGGAAGTCACACATGCAGGTTCAAAAACACCCGTCTCCCTTTAAGACAAACAGATCTGGTCTCCTAATTTCTCCTAAACCTGCTCACATAACTGGCTTACTTAATTAAAAAAAATCTACTTTATTTACCTAACACATCACACTGAAGCACATCGGTCATAAACAGCATCTAGCAAACACAACAGTATAAACACACACACACACGCACACAGAGTCATATTGAGCTACAGTCAGATTAAGATTGAATTCTTGATGTGTAGCAATAGGGGAGGCCAGGCCACCCTGGAGACATGAGGGGGGCAGGGGGGTCTTAAATCAGATTACAGCGTGTTCAGTCCTCCTGACTGACTGATGTCTGCAGATAGAGCGTCCTCCAATCACTCTCATCTGATCGTGACCTTCTGCTCATCCTGACTGTGAAGCCTTAAATCATTCTGTTCTCTAATTTGGCTGATTCTTCTTCAATTTCTTTCCTCTCTTAGCCGGTTCTTGAACTTTTTTTTCCTCTAAATTCCTTGAACATAACGATGACAAATATCAACGTAATCTTCTCAGCTTGTGCTGGGTGCTTTTGTTCCCCGTGCTGGTAAAGTTCAGAAGGCTTTACCGAATGGTTGTCGATGATCTCGAGGAAGAGAGCGCGTTTTGGGCGAATCACAGCCATCGTACCTGCTGCTGCAGTGAAGTCCGACTTTATGCTGCAGCTCATACCAACGAGTTTTAGATGCCCAGGTTGTTTTCTGTTGTTTGGAGGCTTTTTGCAGCTGAGTCCTGTTCACTGTGTCACTCATTGTGGCTGCTCGATTGTGAGTGGCTTGAGTGGTATGTTTTTTTGGTTTTTCATTGAAATAACTGAAAAGAAAAAGAAGACATGGGGCGGCGGATGACCTGGCGGGGAAGCTGCATTCCCCATGTACAGAGACTGTAGTCCTCGTCCCAGGAGCCGTGGGTTGGATCTGATGCCCCCCTTGCTGCATGTTGCCCCCCCCCCCCCCGCCCTCTCCTCCCAATGTTTCCTGTCACTCTCCAGCTGTCCTATTCAATGCTGGGAGAAAATGCCCCAAAAAATCCTTACGTTTCAATGTGCTTTATAGATGTTTAATCTATAAAGACATAAATCATCATTTTATTGTCCCAAGTTATGTGATAAGTTGACTTTTATTTTGTTAAAAATTTCCACAACCCCCCTAGTGCCCCCAGCGACCCACCCTGGGGTCATGACCTTTACTTTGAAAAACACAGATATAGAGTAAAAGTTAACAGAATAATGGCCCAAAAAATCTCTAAAAAAAACAAAAAAAAAATACTCTGAAGTAAAACAGCTTCTGTATGTATGCGACTCAGGTAGCTGTCAGACGCCATCAGCGTGCACGTTGACCTCAGAACTGATTCTGATTCTTCGCCTGACAGACCACATCCAGGGCGGTAAAAGGACCCACTTCATGACGATAAACACATCGTGATTGAGGAGCTGTCAAAATGGACGCCAAAGGCAACGTGTTCTGCCAAAACAGACCGACTAATGAGAGCGAGAGCCAGAGCCAGAGCCGGACGATCAAATGTCTGGGAAGCTGGCAGGTGAAGAAGGCGGACTACCTCAAAAAGGATCTGCAAACGTCTGTGTGTGAGACTGAGAGCTTCTGTCTGCTCCTGTCTCGCGCAATTCAAAGTGACTGAATGAGCACAAAGACTTTTTAAGACTTACATGCCTCCATTTTGTTCTATTTCAACGTCTATTGTAATGCATTGAAAACATCGTTGTAGATGCGACCCTACTCGGCAATGAAACCTGATCCTGCTCAGGATTTTTGATCTTTTTCTCCTCTTCATGAGGTGATGATGAATCTTTGTGCTTATTCAAAATGTCATCCAGGAATCTCTGAGAGGGAATAGAAATGTTCTCACCGGTGGAAACAACTCGATGCCGCCTCGAGGACAATCTGGAAGAGTTCTGATTTAATGAGAGGATTCAGTGGAGGGCGATCGCCTTACCTTTTGGGGGCGTCCAGGACTTCACCCAGCTCCTCGTATTCCATGTGGAAGACACTCGAGAAGGAGTTCTGCAAGAAGAATAAAGACGTTTAATTTTTTGAATTTATTACAGACTGGTGTTTGGCTTGGGACGGAACCGAATTGGTGTGTCCTCGGGATGAAGCAATTAGGATCAGGTGACCGAGCTTAAATGCATACAGGATGTTCCTTCAGACTGGATTACAGGCTGCAGAGAGTTTTTCTGTTCTTTCGGCCCATATCAACTTCCTGTTCCCCACCAGTTAAACCATTAAAGCTAAGTCGTCCAAATACCCATAGCTAAGCGGCTGGGATGTTGCTCTATCACCAATTGCAAGAAAAAATGTCTCATTCCAGTTCTTCTTCTTCGGCTTCTCCGTCCTTATAGGGATTTGTTTTCTTCCAACCTGCACGCCCGACCCCTTGCAGAGGATCCTTTTTCCATTTTTAAGAGGTGGTGGTGGTGGGGGGGGGGGGGGCAGGATGTGAAAGACGGATGAGGCTTCTTCTTCGTTTTGGAAAATGTTTCCCTCCTTTCCCCTTTGCATGCACACACACACACACACACCTTCACTCTGTTGAATTAACTCGCCCTGATCCCACTAGGTGAGAGCCATAAAGCTGCTTTAAACAGAACGGAGAGCTGACACTGTTATGACTTTTATTGGGGTCTCTGGCAGGCGGAGAGTTTATTACAGGATGACACAGGATTAATGGAGTTTTCTTTCCCCCAGCGGGCAAGAATATCGTAATAAATTTAAACTTTTTCTGCTCATTTTCCTTTTTCAGTTTAGGTTTTCATGTCAAGGAAGGACAAAAGAAAAGGTTTGCTGGTCCAGGCTGAGAGGGCTTTCATGACTCGTTTACACATCACAGGCACTCGGCTCATATAAGATGATGGACCGGTGGCCATTTTTTCTCCATCCACAACACAACACAGTGTGATTTATGGCTGTGAAAAAGGTCTGAGCACGAGAGAGAGCAAACAAAGGACACAATATCTCAGACTGTGCTACCCAGAGAACTGACGGCGCTCACAGAGGAAAAGGAACAAGTAGCTTTACATACTGAAATCTCTGCAAAATGTAAAGGAGGAGAAGTTCAGGCTGAAGGGTTTGCCAACAAAGCTTTGTGTGATTTTCATCAGGTCGTGTAGTAACTTAACTAACTTAATAGATCTGTAGATTTTCCATCTGCTCTGCCCTGACCGGTGACCTGCTGCTCCTCACAAACAAAGACAATTTTGTGCCCGTCTCAGACTCTCGCACAAGATCTGTTTCATGCAGACACAAACATGAACAGACCCACACACAGGCACGCCCAAAGAAATGGTTGGGACCCCTAAAGATTAGTAATTGATCATTAGCGATAGCGATAGCCCCCTGGCTAACAGTTGCATCCTCAGCCTGGATCCGCTCAGCTTTTGGAGCTGAGTGAGAAAAGTTTGTTGATCAGTTATTTCTGCCTGGGCGTCATATGCCCTCCCCTCTTTCCTGCCATCCTTATTTCTGTGCAGGTCTTGCTCTAGGTATACAAGTCTGACATTACTGGTCTCACCTTTAAGTTCAATGGGGCCATGACGCCACCGCCCATGACGTTCACCGTCACTGACCCTAAT